TGTATATATATAATATATATTCGGTGTGTACGTGTGTTCTATCAATACAGAATTTTCTGTCTCTGACCTTTTGAGCATGTGGAACAGAGTTATAACAGCGGTTTTGATCGCCTTGTCAGCTTAACGCCAACGTTCACATCGGTTGTGCGTGTCTTTGCAGTCGGCCGATCTGTCGCTCCATCGTAGGCCACGTTTCCTTTCCTTCGCCTGCTCCCCTGTGGCCGTCAGACCGCCCTTGGCGTCTGTGGCGTCTTCAGTTTCCACAGGTGCGTGAGCTCGTTCTGGGGATGCGGTTAAGGAGCTTGGAAACAGTTTGATCTTTTTAGGTCTTGCTTTTCTGATGAGTCGGCTGGGACCAGAGCGTTGCCCAGTCTGGACTGGTGACTTCTGGCGCACGTTCTGCCCAAAGTCCCGAGAATTGGGAGGTTCCCCTTCTGGCGGGCAGGGAGGCACTCCTGGCCCTTTGCGGATGCTGGGCACGGTGAGCGCTCACCTGCCCGGGTGGTTCTTTCCCTGGGCTCGTGGTCGGTGCCCCGCCGAGGGCCTGGGCAGGACGCTCTGCAGAGCTCCGGCGTTCTCCGTGCTGTCCTGCTTCATGGAGTTTTGTCCTGCCGACTCCAGCTGCCTTGTTTCCTGGACGCAGCCCCGGGTTCTGTGGGCTCGGCCTGGTCCCCTGGAAACTCGCTCTAGCCTGCCTGCGGTGGTCAGTTCTGGGCTCCCTCCGCCTGTTTCCCATCTGCCAGAGGTCACTGTCCTTTCCTGCCTTGTACCCAGTGATCTGCAGACGTACATTCTGCCCATTTCTCAGTCATGTGGGGGAGTAAGGCTGGTCTCTGCGGCGACGGGAAAGGGGGTGGAAGCTCAGTTTTCCTGTTCGGGGCCTTGGCACGCCCCTGGCCTCCCGTGGCTGCTGCGTGTGGACGCGCCTCTCACCGGGATCTTCCTCCCCCGCAGCCCAGACTTCAGCAGCGTGGAAGGACGCCTCAGCCCTCCTCCCAGCCGCAGCAGTGACGGCGTCGCACGGTGCCTTTTGGTTCCTTCGCTCTGGATTCGAATCGCTGCGCTTGGAGGCACGGGGACGCCGCTTCCCCTTCTTTTCCGTCCTGAGCTTGTTTCCCTCCACGTAACGCCCTCCAGGTTCATCCGTGTTTTCGCATGTTGCAGAATCTTCCGTTTTAAGGCAGATGAATGCTCTGTCGACGTGTCGGCCACCGTTTGCGTCTCCGTCCACCTGTTGACGGACAGCAAGTGGCTTCCGGGTCCCGCTCCCGGGAGCCCCGCCGCTGGGACCCTGGGCGCAGCTGTCCCCGAGTCCCTGTCCCCGCTCTCCGGGCGCACACCCGGAAGGAGAGTCCCGGCTCCTGCAGTGATTCCGTGTTTGCTGTTGCGAGGACGCCCTCTGCGCTTTCCGTGGGGGCCTCTGCGCCCCACCAGCAGCCCGCGGGGGCCCCGTTTCGCCGCGCCCTCGCCCCCGCCGACTCCTGTTGTTGGAAGGGTGAAGCGGTGGCGCACTTGGTTTTGACTTGCGCTTCCCGAACGATGAGCGGCCCTGGGGACCTCCTCATGCGTCGCTGCTGGCCCTCTCGGAGACACGCCTGTTCGGCTCCTCTGTCCCCTTTCAAAGTGGGTCGGTTGGCTGGTTTCCGAGTTGTGACCCTGTGCATATTCCACACACACGAGTTCCCCCTGGACCTGGGAGTCGCAGAGACCTTCTCCCGCTCCCTGGGTTGCCCTTCAGTGTTGATTATGTCCTTTGAAACGCAGATTTTTTAAAAAATTTAATTTTTTCAGCTCTATTGAGATAGTATTGATATATAACCACTTAAATTTAAGACATGCAGTGTGATGTTTTAATACACAGATATGGTGAACTAAGTGCATGGTAAGGTCAAGTAATACTTCCACACCTTCACATAATTACTTTATTTTTATAATTTTTATTTTTTATATTTAAGATGTATTCTCTCAACACATTAAAAATTTTTTTAATTTTAATTTTAATTTTTTAAAAATATTTTGTGTATTTATTTGACACAGAGAGCGTACAAGCAGGAGGAGTAGCAGACAGAGGGAGAGGGAGAGGCAGGAGAAGCAGGCCCCGTGCTGAGCAGGGAGCCCTATGCGGGGCTTGATCCCAGGACCCGGGATCATGACCTGAGCTGAAGGCAGTTAGTTGCTTAACCTACTGAGCCTCCCCAGGCGCGCAGCCTTTTTTTTTTTTTAAGTATTTTTAAAAACTCTGTACCTAGCGTGGGGCTTCAACGCATGACCCCAAGATCAGGAGTCACACGCCCCACCAGCTGAGCCAGCCAGGTGCCCCAGCCGCTCTCAGGCATTACTTACAGTTACGTTCTGTACATGAGACCCCAAACTGGAGGTCTGTACCCTGGGACTGACATCTCCCCCACCCCAGTCCTGGCAGCCTCCGTTCTCCTCTCCGTTTCTCTGAGTTTGGCATTTTGGATTCCACATCTGAGGGAGAACATACAGTGCTTGTCCTTCTCTGATGGACTTTACTCACATAACGTCCTCAATTTCTATCTATGTTGTCACTAGAGGCAAGAGTCCATCCCCCCCGCCTTTTGAATGGCTGAACCGTTATCCCGTCCCCTCTCGACTGTCACTCGGGTTGTTGGCTGCTGTGAGTGACGCCGCAGTGGACGTGGGGCCCGGATACCTCTTCCCGATGCTGCTTGCGTTTCCTCAGGTTCTGTTCCAGGGGGGCCCCAGAGCATAGGGTAGCCCTGCTTTCGACTTCTTGAGGAGCCTCTGTACTGTTCCCCACGGCGGCCGCGCCAGCCCGCCTTCCCGCCAGCGGTGCGCGCGGCCCCCTTCTCCGCCTGCTCGCCCGCACCTGCTGCCTCTTGTCCTCCCGAGTCGCCTTCCGACAGCTATGGGGCGGTCTCTGAGGTTCTGATTTGCACTTCCCTGGCGCGGAGGGACTTGAGCATCTGTCCGGGTGTCCATCGGCCATCGGAGTGTCTACTTGGGAAAAGACCTGGTCTGCTAATCTAGTCAGTCCTATGACCGCTTTTTAACTGGATTGGCTTTTTAAACTTTTTCCCCTTTGTGTTGAATGAGTTTCATATATGATTTGGTATAACCCCAGTAAGAGTGACAGTTTTTTTCTCCCACTCAGTAGGTCTCCTTTTCATTTTGCTGGTTGTTTGTTTGTTTGTTTGTTTTGCTGTGCGGCTGCCGTCCAGTTTGATGTGGTTCCATTCATTCTTGCTTTTATTCCTTGCACATTTTTTTTTAAAGATTTTATTTATTCATTTGATAGAGACACAGTGAGAGAGGGAGCACAAGCAGAGGGAGCGGGAGAGGGGGAAGCAGGCTCCTTGCTGAGCAGAGAGCCCGATGCGGGGCTCGATCCCAGAACCCTGGGATCATGACCTGAGCCGAAGGCAGAGGCTTAACGACGGAGCCCCCCAGGCGCCCTATTCCTTGCACTTTTGATGTCATATCCAAAAAATGGTTGCCAAGACCAATAATGTCAAAGAGCTTTTTCCTTAGAAACACAGAAGGCTCAAATTTTGATATCACCATATTGATTTTTGCTTTTGCTGCCACATCAGAGAGACCATCGAAAATCCAACACCCTGAAGCTTTCTGTATTTTCTTCTCAGAGTTTTGTTTCTCATGTTTAGGTCTTTGATCCATTTTGAGTTAATTTTTGTATATGCGAAGGTAAGGGTCTAGCTTCAGTCTTTTCCCAGAAGTTTTGGTAGGATTTTCTGTTAGTCATTTGTTAACCGACGTGCTCCTTGAGAACCTGAAATAGAAAGGCTTCGGACAGACTGAGCTCAGGCCTTGTTTGCTCAGCTCAGGCCCCCGAACCGTCTCCTGCCGCTTAGCTCATCCCTGTCCTGGCCCCTGTCCTCGGCTCTGAGCGTGCTCCCCCCACTACCCGGCACAAGACCAGGAACTCCCCAGGTCTGAGGTGCATGGCCTTGCTGCATCTTCTCGTGATTCCATGTTTTCTGTAGGGGATGCCTCAGTGTCTGCCCCCAGCCTGGGCCCCAGGCCACCCCTCCCGGGAAGCCAGGCTTTGCTCAGGAAGCACAACCGCTCCCACTGTGCCCTGCTCTGGGACGTGTCGTCACACCTGCATACTGTGTCCACCCTCCTCTGGCCGCCTGCCCACACTCCGCCTGCTTTCTAGCTCAGACTTGGGGCGGTGTTCTCGTACAGAGTGAGGGAGTGGAGCTGGGTGGGAGGGCCTGGGGCGGGGAGGACAGGCACCTGAACGCGGGTTGGACATTCCCTTCAGGGTACTTCCCGGCCCCTGGGTGGCCAGCCCCCTAGCCCGCACCCTTGCCCACGCCCAGACCCTGCCAGTGAGGGTCAGGCCAGTCCTGGGGCGCATCATGCCCCCCCCATGTTCTCTCCGTATTTGTCCCCATTTTCCTGACCTTCCCTGAAGCCACGTCTGTCCCCAGGGCCTCCCGTGTTTATCTGCCAAAGCCCAGGAACTTCATGTGGTTTGCTGATGGTGAGTGCCTGTGAGTTCGGTTTCTGCAGGACGCATCTGTCAAGCAGATGACGTTGTCAGTGATGTGTGTAGTGATGACAAGCACGTAGCTTTGCTGGGCGCTTACGGGCTGGGCACTCTGTAGGGTTCAGAAGATTAACTGCTGAAACAACCCTAGGAGGGAGATTATGCTATTCCTTTTTTACGTCTGAAGAAATGAGACGTGTGGTTAGCAGTGCAGTCGTGGAGGGAAGGGGCAAGGATTTCACCCAGGAAGAGGGTTCGGAGGCTCCAGTACGGTCCCTGCCTATGTCATCAGCGGATTGAAGGATTTTAGCGTCTTTACATTGAATTCATATCTGTATCAAGGCTCCCTCACCAGTGCCTTGGTCAAGAGCATATGGAGCCCCACAGCCCATATCTGTCTTCTGTACACTGACCTTGACCTCACTCAGTTCACATCCCGTCCTCATGCTGACCGTGACCCGTATGCCTAGTTTACATTTCTTTCTCCCTCTTGCCCTAGACTTTGACCCTCACCACTTCTGGCACTGGAGCAGCTTTGGGGACTACGTGCAGTGTGTCCTGGCCTTCACGGGAGTGGCGGGCTACGTCACATACCTGTCCATTGACTCAGCCCTGTTTGTGGAGACCCTGGGCTTCCTGGCTGTGCTGACTGAGGCCATGCTGGGGGTCCCACAGCTCTACCGCAACTACCGCCACCAGTCCACCGAGGGAATGAGGTAGGTGGGCCTGAGTCGCTCTCAGTGCACCTGTTGGTACCAGTGTGCCGGCGTGTTTGGTAAAAACCAAATGTGTACAGACTTGGCTGCTGTGTTTTACGTTGTATCTGTGAGACACCAGGTAGAGAGCAGACGTCTGGATGTGTGAGTAGACATGTTTGTGTGGAACATGTAAGGGGACGCCGCGACCCCCTTGTGAAACAGATACGCGGTACAGGGTCTTCCGGGTTGAACCTGGAGCGCTGTCGCGGGAGCATGTGCGGAGCACAGAGGATGAGAAGGGAGAAGGCTCTGCCCGCGGAGCACAGGTGAGCAGAGGCGGCTCCGGTGCCCGGCGGTGGGGGCTGTGTCCCGAGATACACTCTCGGTGGTAGCCGTGTGTCTCCTCAGGGCCCTCCGTGTGTTCAGATGCCCTCCCGGTCACGGGAGGCCACGTGGAACGGGTCTCGAAGGCACTGGGTGGAGCCCTCCACCAGCCTGTGAAAGTCGCCTGCGGCGTTGGAATAAGGTGTCGATGGGAATTCCAGGCCCGTGGACGGGCTTGCTCTGAAGCTTTGTCATTCCTGCCGGGGGCTTCTCTCGTACTTGCTTGCTTCCTGTGATGGGGAGCTTCCTCCCCAGGCATGAGGACCCCTGCACAAGGCTCTGTTCGAGGGCCCATAGTAGCACCTGAACCTCTCTCGCTTTTTCCTCGAGATCCGTGCAGCCCCTCAGCCCTTCCCAGGGTGGCCCTGTGTGTGCGAGGGCAGCATCGTGACCCCAGTCCCCTGGGGGCCTCCCGTCTGTGCTGCTCTCCCTCGCTCTGTCGGCCGTCCGTCCCATGATGGCTTACAGCCCCTTCCTTACCCAGTTCTCCCAGGGTGGGTCTGTTTGAGTGACGCATGACAGAAGTCTAGTGTGCAGCTTCAGATCGGAATGTGCTGTGGGAGGCCTGTGCCGGGACTGGGGCAGGGCATCCCCTCCCTGGGGAGCCTTGGCACCTGCAGACTCACCGAGGCTAACCGCCTGGTTTGTGGCCACGGCACACGCTCAGAGTGAGCTCATGCCGCTCCTGTACCTGCCGCTCTGTAGCCCACCTGTGTGTGCGGCGGCACCCGGCTGCCACCATTCACTGGCTAGGTCCTGTGGCTGCTCTTAGTATGTCCAGCACACACGGGACACCCTGGCAGTTGAATCTAACATTGTCTCAACTTTCCAAGTCTGAGCTGCTGTGATGGGGAAGGACTATCCGTGGGTCAGAGGTGGGTGGAGTAGAGGCTGCTGATGCCTCTGGCTAGAGACGATGGTCCACGGATGGAAAGCCGAGTTCACAGACGTCTCTAGAAGGCAGAGATTCAAGGTTTTTCTTTTAAGATTTATTTTAGAGAGCGGTGTGGGGGCGCAGAGGGAGGGGAGAATCCCAAGCAGACCCCCACTGAGCACAGAGCCCGGCACGGGGCTCCATCCCCGACCCTTTGACCATGACCTGAACCAAAATAAACAGTTGGACCTCAGCGGACTGAGCCACCCGGGCGCCCCAGGATTCAAGACTCGTAATGTAGGAAATGACGCAACAGCTCAATCCCCTGAGATGAGCAGACCGCCAGGCAGTCAGGAAGTGACAAAACTATCCCATTCGTGGTAGTGTGGAGACTAACCAAGGAGGTAGCAGACTCGGGCAGTGGAAACTAGAGCACTGTTGAAGGAACTTGAAGACATGAGTCCATGGGAAGACATTCCGCATCCACAGCCTGGAAGATTCAGGACTGTTAAAATGTCAACACTTCCCAAGGCAACCTCAGGTTTAGTGGATCCCTTTCAAAATCCCAGTGATGTTTTTTTTTTTTGCGGAAATAGAAAAACGTGTCCTAAAATTCACATGGAATGTTGAGGGACCTGAAATAGTCAAAACAGTCTCAAAAAAGAACAAAACTAGAGGACACACCTTCAGATTTCAAAAATGGCTGTGCAGGTGCCTCGAGGCTATCCTGTTGGCGTACAGACAGACCCATGGGGTAGAGCAGGAGCCCAGAAATGACCCTTACGTGTGTGGTTCAGTGGCTTTCGGCAGGGGTGCCAAGAACTCTCAGTGGAGAAGGACAGTGTTCTCGGCCCGTGGTGCTGAGAGTGGAAGGAGTTCGGCGTGCCCGCAGAGCCGTGCGGCCGCCACCTCTGTGTCATGTTAGAACATTTTCCTCCCCCCACAGAGGAACTTTGTACCTGCTGGTCATCACCCTTCATTCGCTCCCAACCTCCCCCACCTCCGGCCCTTGGCTGCCCCGGACCGGCTGTCTCTGGGACTCTGGACGTAAACGGAGCCATGGGAAAGCGGACCGCGCTCCCAAGGCTCCGCGGTGCATGACATATCCGAGTTCGGCTCCCAGGCCGGACCACAGTCTGGTCGTGCGGATGCACCCGTGCCTGTTCTTCAGCTGGCGGACATCTGGGTGTCCGGCATCCTTTAGCTGTTACAGGTAATGCTGCCGTCACGTACAAGTTTCTGCTGGACACTTGCATTCCTTTCTCTGGGAGCAGACCAGGTGGCACTGTTGGGTCGGACTGCGGCTCTGGGTTTAATGATTTGAGGCGCGGTCACGCTGGGTCCACAGTGGCACGTGAGGGTTCCGACCCGGCATCTCACCGACGCCTGTTACCGTGTGGCCTGTTGATTCTAGCCGTCCTCGCGGGTGTCCTATGGGGCTCTCCGGGCTCCATGTGGTTTCAGTTTGCATTTCCCTGTGATAATGAGGTTGAGCATCTTCTCACGTGCTCTTTGGCCCTCCTGTGTGTCTTTGGAGAAACGTCTGTTCCAGTCCTTCCAGTTTTAAAGTTGGTGTTCTGTCCTTTTATCACTGAGTTGTAGAGTTCCTGACGTGCACTGGGCACTACAGCCGTATCAGGCGTATGATTCGTAATTTTTTTCTCCCCTCCGGTAGGTTGTGTCTTCACTTTCCTGATATTTTCCTTTTCAGCACAAAAGATTTTAAATTTGCTGAAGTTAATGAATTTGTGTGTGGGGGTGGGGTTGTTGCTCATGCCTTTGTCGTCATACCCAAGAAACCCGTCTAACCCAAGGTCACAAAAACCTGTTCCTTTGGAATGTGTTTTGGGTGGGTTTTGAATTACAGGAGAGCTTTTGATTCGTGGAAGGAAGAAGGTCTAGGTCTAGGCTGAGGGTAGCAGTGAGGGGAGGCTGGGGAGGCCACAGGAGTCGGCATGCCTAGTTGGGCTCTGGAGGAGGCTGGGCAGGCACAAGAGTGTGGCCATCATTTCTTGGGCACCAGCTGGGAAGACGCGTTCTGGACTGCAGGACAGGGCGAGGAGGTGGTGAGAGGAATCTTAGGAAGAGTTTGGGAGGAAAAATGCAGAAGTCAGGAATGAGGTAATAGGAGCCTGGATTAAAATGGTGGAAGAGGGCGGAGCGGGGGGTGCAGGAGGCAGCCCCTGGATGGGCGATAGGTGGAGGGACCCAGCTCCCAGGCTGCCAGCCTGAACAGGAAGGCCACAGCTGGGGCCTGGGAGGGGCGGTCGGGGCTTCCTGTGGCGTTGGAGCTCTGGAGTGGTTAGGATTCCTCCATCCTGGGGCCGCCGGGGTGGCTCAGTGGGTTAAAGCCTCTGCCTTTGGCTCAGGTCATGATCTCAGGGTCCTGGGATCGAGCCCCGCATCGGGCTCTCTGCTCAGCGGGGAGCCTGCTTCCCCCCCTCTCTCTGCCTGCCTCTCTGCCTGCTTGTGATCTCTGTCAAATAAATAAATAAAAAATCTTAAAAAAAAAAAAGATTCCTCCATCCTGGTCCCCGTTGGGGTGGGGACTCCAGGACTTCCCTGCACGTTGTGAACTGATAGCCCAGCTTCTGGGGCTCGTTCTTCCCTCCCGTATTTGTGGTGGGTGATGGGAATTCACAGCTCGTGGGGGCAGGGCGCCTCAGGGTCCTGGGGTAACAGCATGAGCTCGTACATCCTGAGCCCTTGTTCCTGCTCCAGAATGCTCCTTTGTGATGAGCAGAGCTCCCTGCGCTTTGCTAGTATTTCATCCGGCGGCCATGCCCCCAACCCCGAGCCCCCCACCGAGGCGGCTGATGTGGGGCCGCCCGCGAGGCTGTCACATTTGGGACCCTGAGCAGAGGCCACCTGTGCATTCAGGGCCTGGGGGAGGGGCTGTGACCGGGCACCGGGTGGGGGTCCTGGGACTGTCTCCAGGCCTTCATGTGGAGTGCCGCCTTGCCTGGAGGGGCCAGCTTCCTGCGAGGTGGCCATCCCAGGGGGACCGGGAGCACCCTAACCCCAGGAGCGGCCTGGCCCCGAGGAGCTGGAGACACAGGCAGGACCTTTCCAGGCTGTCTCGCTCCAGGCCTGGCTGCTCCCGCCCAGGTCTGCTGCGAAGGCTCCAGCCCGGCCCCCTGACGGACCCCGCTGCCAGGCCTAGAACCATCGCTGGGGCTTCTTAGGTTTTATTTGTGTTTGAGGGAGGCGTCTCCATCTCCTGCTAAAATGTGGGTGCCTCCGGCAGACTGTGTCTTGCACTGTCAATTCTGTAAGACAGAACTAGACCCCTCTGCTGGGCCCTGCTGCTTCCCTCCTTGTCCTCACGGCCTTTTGCAGAAACCTTGGTTGCTCTAGGAGCTTTTCCTTGAAATGCTTGCTGTGTGGGTGTGGCCTTTCTTTGGAAGAGTGCAGGGGTGAGCGTGAGGGCTGTGAGCAGCCCCTCCCAGGCAGGCGGGCCCCTCCGCGGGGCATTCAGGTGGGCCATCTCAGCCTGGCGGGCCAGGTGCCTGCAGCCTATACGGGGGCCCCGGCCAGGTCCCCTGGTTGAGCTGCTTCCCTCCCTCCACTCGTCGCTCTGCTGTGTCCTTCTCTGCGGCCCCCACCAGCACCGAGCGTGCGGGTAGCCCCGCTCCTGCCCGTGCTCCCCGCTGTCCAGCCCCCAGGGGGCCCTTCTGCCACGCGCCGAGTTCCCCTGCTGCTGCCCCAGACCAGGAGGTCCGGACTGAGCTGGAGGCACAGCCTTGGCAAGTGCAGGGTTTTTGGTCACTGCAGGTAGTGGATCCTGGGGGGACATCACAGCAACAGTCACCGTCCCTCTGCCCCATCCGGGGCAGACGAGGCCAGCTATCCCCAGGGGCCCGTCTGGGGTGGCCAGTGGTGGAACGCATATGTTGTTCAGGGCCGTGGGGGCAAGCCCAAGCCTCCCCTCGAGGGGCACAGAGAGCCTGGCCAGGAAGCGCCCAGCAGCTGGGGGGACTCTACCAGGCAGCAGGAGGAAACCCCTGGAATGACGGACGTGGGTGATGATGGTCTCCCTTCGGACCTGCCAGCCTGGAGCTCAGCACCGTGCCCGGGGCCGAGCAGGATGTGCTCCCAGCACAGCCCCTGCTGCTCCGTATGTGGGGAAGCATGAGCTCGGCCCCCGCTGCTCTTTGTGTGGGGAAGCGTGAGCTCGGGCCGCGGCTGTCGGTGTTCCGCCTTGCCCTTCCTCCGCAGACCCTAGGCAGGCCCCAGGCCCGGAGTCGCGGTCTTCAGAGCTGGTGGCAGCCCACGTGCTGCTTGACGACGACTGTGCCTGTTGCAGCAGAAACCCGACGTTCCCACGGGGTTTGATGAGACTCGGAGTCTCGTTATGTAACACTGACCGTGCCCAGGACACACAGCAGAGGGAGCGTCAACACCGGCTCCGCAGCTCAGAGGAGGGGCCCGCCAGCCGTCGACGCAGCACCAGCGAGGGCACCCGGGCCTGGGAACGGTCCCTGGGAAACTGGTCCAGGGAGGAGAGGAAACACGCTCGAAATGAATGGAAAAATGGGACATCTCAGCGAAGACGTGGAAGCTATAAAATTAAAAGAATGAAACAGAACATTTTAAATTAAAAAACACAGTAAGCCAGATAAAAATATATTCCGTGAGCTCAGTAGTGGAATGCAGATGGCCCGGGAATGAGCCCGTGAACTTGAAGACGGATCAATAAAAATACGTTCTCAACAGCAGAGAAAAACCAGGGGAAAAGTAGCTTCAGGGAAAGTACCAGAAAATCGAACATTGATGCCGTCTGAGTCTGGAGGAGAGAAGGGTTGTGGAGCAGACAAAATACCGACAGAATGTCTGAAAACTCCCCAGCTTTGATGTCCGATAAACTTACAGATTCGAGAAGTTCCTCAGATCCCAATCATGGACCCCGTCACGGTCGGCCAAAAGCCGAAGTCCGACGTTGAAAGCAACTAGGAAAAGAGGGTCTGTCGTACACAGTGTGGATTTTAAAAATGCAGAATTAGTTACCAGCTCCCTCACAACAAAGCCTTAGAATACCGTGTGAGCCAGAATCACAGGCCAAAGGGGACATATCTGGGGGCCTTTCCGGCCGTGGAGCGTCCGTCCGCGGAGAGGCTGCAGGGGCCCACCAGGCCGCGGGCCGTTTTCCCCGTGACCATCCCGAGAAGCCTCAGGCAGCCCGTGTGCAGCAGGTCGGGAGGCCTCTCCGTCCCCGTCTGCGCCCTGCCGGCCGCGGCTGAGGAGGGGACGCAGAGCTACGTCCTCAGGCGGGGAGTTCCGGACACGGGGGTCCTCACCCTGGTTTTAGGAATGAGAACCGGCCTGGGGCTCAGAGGACGGTGTCCGTCCGCAAGCTCAGTGCCTGGGTGCGTGGCCCTTGCTCTGGTGCTGGCAGCTCTGGCGGCGGACGGCTCCCCGCTGCTGGGGGATCCCCACGCCCCGTCCTTCGTCCCCACGCCCCGTCCTTCGTCTTCACGCCCCTTCCTTCGTCCCCACGCCCCTTCCTTCGTCTTCACGCCCTGTCCTTCGTCTTCACGCCCCGTCCTTCATCCCCACAACCCTTCCTTCGTCTTCACGCCCCTTCCTGGAAGCAACTCCGCTCATACTCTGGTCTGGCTCTCAGCTGGGAGAGGCTCAGGCCGCTGGTGGAAACGGGTCTGATTTAAATTTATTGGTAAGTTACCGGAAAACACAATAGTGCTTGTGCCTGTGCTGTGGGAAGCCCCGGCATTCAAAGCTGTCGGGGGAGACGTGGGTGGGGGATGTGGCAGGGGGGACGTGGCAGTGACAGGTGCTCCCTCGTCACCCACTGAGGGCTGAGGGTCCCTGCCTCCCTGTGGACTGATCTGAAACATTGGAAGGGGGGTTGGCGTCGGCAACCAGAGACGGGATCACCCTCCAATTACCTTTTGAGGGAGGGGGTCTGGCCAGGCGGGTTCCCATGACCAGGGGTTCACTCTGCTGCTGCTTGTGGCCTCCAGTTTCGTCCTCAGCACGCCTGGGTGCAGATGGGGTCTGCCCGGCCAGAAAGAAGCTCCTGGCAACAGGGCCTCCCCTCCTGGGCAAGGCTCCCATGGCCGGCCCGGCCCAGCCTGCCCATCCCCATGGCCAAGTGCTGTTCTCCTGCAGTCCCCACCTGCCTGGGGGTCCCTGGGATGCCGTGTGGGAAGGGGTGGTCTCCCCTCTCCCGTCTGAGGCCACAGCACGCCTCCTGAGGGTCATAGCTTGCACACCTGTCGTCAGGAGGGATAGAACGCTCATGAGGCCACGTGAGCCATGCCACGGTGTCCACAGTGTCTGCTTCCCTGCCCGGCAGCCGCAGGGCCTGCCTGTCCCTACGGCTGTGCATGCCGTGGCCTCGTGGTGAGGACAGGAGGGGCGGGGAGGACAGGCAGGGGGGACAGGACAGGCGGGGGCCTGGGTGGCCGCTGACTGCTGCCCTGTGTCTCCGCAGCATCAAGATGGTGCTCATGTGGACCAGCGGCGACACCTTCAAGACGGCCTACTTCCTGCTCAACGGCGCCCCCCTGCAGTTCTCCGTGTGCGGCCTGCTGCAGGTGCTGGTGGACCTGGCCATCCTGGGACAGGCCTACGCCTTCGCCCGCCACCCCCAGAAGCCAGCCCCCCACGTGGCACACCCTGCCAGCGCCAAGGCCCTCTGAGGTGGCGGGGGAGGACACGGACATGTGGCCTCCGCCGTGGGCACTGGCCCAGTCACCTGTCATCCCTGTGTGGGGCAGGTGGGCACTGTGGCCCAAGGGGATGTCTGGGTCATCGGGATCTCGATCAGCTCTGTGGGTCTCGGGTGCACTGCCAGGGGGCCTGGGTGCCAACATTGGTGCTCTACCCTGAGGACGAGTGTGAGTGGGCACTAGACCCCAGGGCTGGGCTGAGGCTGTTTTCCAGGTGATGGAGAAGCAAGTGTTCTCTTCTTTCCTCTCAGAAAACACTTGTCTGGAACTTGGAATGTGCTCACAGACCCAGGAAACGCAGACTTCGGGCTGCTACGGGACAGGGCGCCAGGAAGCCCCTCTGGGACTCAGGCCTGCCGGGAGCCCCCGGGGCCTGCAGCCGGGCTCTCGGCAACCCTCGGCCTGGGCAGGTTGGGGAGCAGGAGTGAGCAGGGGCACCAGGAGAACCCGCACACACGGCGCACAGAGCCTGGTCTCAGAATGGCCCAAACGTGGACATCCTGGTGACAGCATGCGCGCGAGAGTGACTCAGAGCAGGGCCCGGGCACAGAGAGTGGGCCTGGGGTTTGTACGCAGCTGATGCTTGTGGGAAGGAAGCTACGCACGTTACAAGTGCTCTTGGTGACCTGCCGGAGTCGGCCCTGTGAGGGCCACCTTCAGTGCAGCCGCGTCCCGGGACTCGGGACTTGGCCCTAAGCTTGGCAGTGGGGCCCAGAGTGTTCCGTGTGCCCACGTGCCTCATTTCTGCATTGGCTGCCTCCTGGGAGATGCCCGTGTGGACGCCGCTGGCAGGGAGGGGGCGAGCCTGTGTCCATGCCGGCTGGACGCTGCCAGAGTGAGCTCAGGGGTGTTGGCACCAGAGCCTGGAGTTCCCCATGAGTCCTGGGGGTATGTGGGAGGCACAAGTGGCCCGTGTGTGCCCCCAGGGAAGCTGGGGGCCTGGGACCAGGTCTGGGGGACGCACCCTCCGCCAAGGACAGGCGTACTTAGGGGCGTTCCCTCTGGGTTCTGGGAATTGCACGCGCCTGCAGCCTGCCGCCCTGGACGTCTGTGTTCCAGGACGGCGATGGCCTGCGAGTCAGACGTGGGGACATGTGATGCAGGTGTCCCCACGCTCCTTGGGCGTGGGGTGACGTGCCTGGGTGGGGCGTCCCTGGCCACCTGCTTTTCCCCCCCTCGGTTTTACAGGAGCATCTCCGCTGTGCCCAGCAGCCCTGGGCGAGCTCCCAGGCCCCAGCGCCTGTGTCCCAGCAGCCGTGGGGCTTCCCCTCTGCGGGGCGGAGGGCCGGCCCTGGGGCGGGTGTGCGGGGGCGGCGCCGCTGTCCTGCTGCTCCAGCTGCTGCCGCCTCCGGAGCTTTGCTCACAAACACCTGAATGTTTGAGTAAGGGTCCTGCTTAGTCACTTGGGCTGTAAGATGCTTTGAAAATGTTTATTTTTAAACACAGGGGGTGTCAGTAGCTGTAATTTCCTCCAGATTAAAGTGTCTCCCTCTGACTGCGGCCGTGGCGGCATGTGCCCAGCGAGGGGAGCACTCAGGGTTGTCCGAGCTCTGACTTTAACCCAATAAACCGCTTGCGGATCTGTGTGGCCTCGTGAATGGAGTCCGAGCGGGCGCCCCAGGACACAGTGAATCATGGGTCCCCCCCCATCCTTCCTTCGCCGTACGGGTCTTCAGGGAAGGGTGGGTGCCCTCTTCTTGCGGTCCAGCTCTGCCCCTGTGAAACCCAGGCTGCTGTCTTGGTCCCCCCACACGGACATACCAGCCCCCCAGACAGACCAGCTCCCTGGACAGACCAGCCCCCAGCCAGAACAGACCACTCCCTCCCCCCAGACAGACCAGTTCGCTAGGAAAGACCAGTCCCCTGGACAGAGCAGTCCTCCCAGACAGACCAGGCTAGCCCCTCAGCACAGACCACTGCCCCAGGACAGACTGGCCCCCAGGGCCAGACCAGCTCCCCAAACAGACCAGTCTCCTGGGACAGACCAGCCTGGGCCACATCAGCCCCTCAGCACAGACCAGTGCCCCAGGACAGACTGGCCCCCAGAGGTAGACCAGCTCCCCAGACAGACCAGCAGGACCAGGCCAGGGGAGGCCCTGACCACTGAATGCCTTGAAAGGGTGAGAGGTGTTTTGTTTAAAGAAAGGCCAAGGGAAGTGTTTGAAGAAAAGTGCACAGTTCTGTCAAGCCTGTAGGGACGGAGCTGTGTGTACCGACCAGTTTTTTTTTTCATGGAGACATTAACATTTGGGGACAAGGTGTCAGAAATATCAAAGAGATACGGTGAAAGTACATGAAAGTGATATTCTGAATTTCTGGATGGCCCCCCCAGCCCCCTCCCACACTGGCCCCGGGGTCCAAGAGTGAGTCTGGCCCGGAGCTGCTCCGTGTGGGTGACACCACGCGGTCTCTCTGGCAGCCGGCATCCCCGCCTGGACCCTTGTCTTCTTGCTCTGGGGGTGGATTTTTACTTTCTTGTAATCAGTTCGTTAAAATTAACTGCTAATTCTGCATGCAGTAGAGATCCCGATGGCGAAATGAACAGTGAAACACGGAGAGGCCTCTTTCTCCGTGAGCCCATCTCAGTTCTTGGAAAGTCACCTGTAGCCTCTTTCTTTGGTTCCACTCACAGCCGCCAGGTATGTGGGAAGGAGCTGGGGCCCCGTCGTCACACCAGCCGGCGGGGCACAGGCTCCCGAGCCCGAGAAGTGGGGCTCTAATCAGAGTAGATGAGGGTCCCTTTCCGCAGGCTTAGACCTCTGATAAAGCTGTATGGCTTTTCCCCTCAGCAGGATAGTGGCGCGACTGCCCGGGCTGCTGGTGTGACATGGTGCGGCTCCCTGCGCTGAGCCTCTGAGAACCTGGAGCCCACGGAAGGCTGTCAGTGAAGCCGGCCCATCTCCAGCTGGGCAAGAAGAAACTGTGTGTGCAAGTGTCGCAGTGGGACGCCCACGGTGGATGACCCTGCAGAAGCAGGAGCCCCCCCAGACTGCCCACCGCAGACAGCTCCTCCAGGAGCTGCCCTGCCAAGGAGCAGGGAAGCAGAGGGTGCGGCCTGCAGACACAGGTGGCCTCCTGGCATTTGCCACGGCCTTGGAATTTCTGGGCCAGGGAATCGGAACTCCAAAGGGAAGAAGGAGGAAAGAGGGAAGGAATGACCGGAAGCAGAGGATCAGTACCCCCCCCCCTCAGGGCTGCGCGGGCTGGAGGGACATGCCGTGGGTACCGGGAAGGACCCAGGCCCCTCCACCGCGAGGTCGCCCGTGGGACGGGCGCGGGGTGGGGGGGGGGCGCTTCTATACCTGAGGAAGCTCAGGAGGAGCGGCCTCTTGGGGGCCACAGTCGCGGCCACACCCCGCGCGGGGCCTCCTGGTGTGGGCGGCTGCGGCGGGCCCCTACTGGCTGTCCTCGGTGGCCGGGGCCGAGCGCGCGCTGTCCTCGCGCAGGGCCGGCTCGGGGCTGGCGGCGCGCCGCCGCTGCTGCTCCTTGAGCTCGGAGTAGGAGCGCGAGAAGGTGTGGAAGATGGACGTGACCGGGAAGGCCACGAGCAGGACGCCGCTGAGGATGCTGCCGAGCGCCACCACCTGCCCGGGCAGGCTGCGCGGCACCATGTCGCCGTAGCCCACGGTGGTCATGGAGATGACGGCCCACCAGTAGCAGGCGGGCACGCTGGAGAAGTCGCGGCGCGCGCCCAGCTCGCGCTCGGCCAGGTGCACCAGCGGGGCGAAGAGCGCGGTGGCCACGCAGAGGAAGAGCAGCAGGAGCCCGAACTCGCGCGCGCAGCGGCGCACGGTCAGGCCGAGCGAGCGCAGCCCCAGCGAGTGGCGCGCCAGGCGCATCACGTAGAGGACGCGCAGCGCCCGCAGCAGCCGCAGCGCCAGCCCCGCGCGCTCCAGCAGCGCCGCGCCGCCCGCGCCCGCGCCCGCGCCCCCCGCCGCCAGCCCCGCGAGCAGCGACACGTAGAAGGGCAGGATGGCCAGGATGTCGATGACGTTGAGCGGCGTCCGCAGGAAGGCGCACTTGCTCTCGGCGCGCAGCGAGCGCAGCAGGAACTCGAAGGAGAACCAGGCCACGCACACCGTCTCCAGCACGAAGAGGCTGCGGCACTTGGGGGAGCACTCGCCCTGCGGAGGAGAGGGGTGGGGTGCGGTCACGCCCGCGCTGCCCTTCCCCCACGTACCCCACCTTCCTCCCCCATGCGCGACGGCAGGGGGCCCGGTTTCTCGCCTGGGAGCCAGGAAGAGCTCAGCTGACCAGCTCCCCGGCTCCCCAGCACAACTGGTGAAAGTCATTAAAAACAGCCATTAAAGCCTCTGGAAACAAGCCTAAGGGCAAACGGCAAACGGAACATCCATTCGAGCAAAGCTACAGAAATTCATTTTAAAAGGCGAGAGAAATACCACCGCCCCAGCTCAGTGAGGAGACCCTGCTCCAGAACACAGGCCGCGTCCCCCAGCTCCCCAGGACAGTGCAGCTTGGAAGGGGGCCCTTCTCCTGCCCAGTCCCCAGACCTGCCGTGGATGGACGCTCCGCCTCACGCTGCTCTGAGAACACTGGGGTCCCCCGCCTCACCTGGGGCCCTGGCTTGTGCTGGTGGTTTCACACCAGGAGAGGCAATCCAGAGGACCTGAGCTGCTCTGACCCCCTCCCCCCAGTTAGCTTAGAGAATGGGGGTCACCAGAGAAGCCAGGCACTGTCCCCACCCCCAGTTCCACAACCCCTGGGGCAGAGGTTTTCCCCGGGGGAGGGGGAAGCAGGCTCCTAGAACAGTCATTTCTTGCCAAAGAAATGAAGTTCATTTGTAACTAAGTACAGAATTGTTGGACCCCAGGGTGTTCTCAACATTGGAGGTTGTCATGAAGGAAACTGGGAGGAGAGTCATGGAGTTCGTTCCAGGATGACTGTGGGTGTACCCAAGCTGTGGGCCCCTGAGGGGCAGCATCGGGGGCTAATCCCAGTGTGCGGATGTGTGTGCACATACGTGGGTGTGCATGTCTGTACGTGTGCATGTCTGTATCTGCACGTGTGTGCGCATGTGTATATGTGCATGCATGTATCCATGTACGCGTGTGCACGCACATATCCGTGTGCATGTGTCTGCGTGTGTGCACGCACACGAGTACATGCGTGTACGCGTGCATGTGTGTATCCGTGTGTTGTATTGTGTGCATGCATGTATCCGCGTGTACACATATGTAAGCATGTGCGTGTCTACGCGCACATGTATCTGTGTGTGCGTGCATGTGCGCATTTGTGTATGTGCACATGTATGTCTGTGTACGTGTGTGCACGCACGGAGGGCAAGGACCCCTGTGCTATAACAGGTAGCAGAAGCGAAGCCCAGAGGAAAGGTCCATGTGACCCTGCGTCTTTCCAGTAAGAAACCCTGGAGCGGGCGCGGAAACCGTAAATTACGATCCCTGCCTCAGAAAAGAATCAGGAAACGGAAGCGACATTTGAGAGGACCAGATACCGGAGTTTGGAGAAGCACCGTTGTGGAAAGGTGGTCACAGACCAGAGGAAGATCGAAGACGTAGAACTCGGGATGGCAGCCCGTTGCACAGATGGGGATGAGCAATAAAGAGAACATTTTTAAAACGACCACTTGGAGCTTTTGGAGTTGAGACGTCACTGAGAACCAGTGAAGCCCCGGAGGAGCTCCTCAGCAGAGCCGAGCCGCCAGAAGGACGAGCCGGGGAGTGGGACCAGAGGCCAATCCTGCAGCGAGGCGAGAGAGGGAGGCCCGCGGAGTCTGAGCGGAATGTGGGCATGTTTGTGAAGCACTGGGGCCAGGGGTGCCCAGAGAGGGAGGAGGAGAAACACGTTCCACGCAACGATGGCTGGAAACTCACCAGATCGCCCGGCGCACAGTCACCCGCACAGCCGGGAACGCAGGGCAAATGTAGACTCCGGTGTGTGGTGGCAAGGAAGGGTCCGAGTGCCACTGGCCAGGCGGGAACGGCCCGTGGCCGGAGAAGGGATGCGCCTGAGCAGAGACGGCACAGGCCAGAATGCTGTGGGGCACGGACTCAGAACATCAGAACAAACGTCTTGCCAGAATCCCGTCTCCAGCAAAGCCATTGTTCCCGCAGGAAGGTGAAACCTTTCCCAGAGAAACAAAATCTGAAAGAACAGGTTTCCGGGATAGCTGCCTTGCAAAAAGTTCCCAAGGAAGCTCTTTGGGTGAAAGCAGGGATGCCAGAATCTTCCTGACCTCGGATTTGGCAAAACATTCTTAGAGATGACACCAAAAACACGAGCAAGCAAGATAAAATAGGTAAATTCAATCAAGATTTAAGACTTCTGTGCTTCAAAGGACACTGTAAAGTTTGAATTGTTTTTCTTCAAAATCGTACATTCAAGCCCTAACCCGCGACCTCTCAGATGAGGACTGTATTTGGACAGGGTCTTTAAAGAGGTGACGCAGGGACAATGAGGTCACACGGGTGGCCCTGGTCCAACAGGACTGCGGTGTCAAGACACAGACACACACAGGCATGAGGGCAAGGGCATCGATACGCCAGACAGAGGTCGTGGGAGAAACCGACCCTCCCGACGCCTTACCTCCGACGTGTGGTCTCCAGAACGCTGAGAAAATAAATTTCAATTTCAGGCCACACCGTCTGTGTCCCTTTGTTGTGGGAGCGCTGGTGAACCATTACAGACACCATCGGGGAAGGAAAAGACAGTCCACAGGATGGGAGGAAATACTGACAGTTGTTTATCTGCTGAGGGACTGGTATCTAGAACATATATAGAACTCCTACAACTCAACAGATGAAAACCCCATTAAAAGACAGGCAAGGAGGAGACGTATCTGTGAAAAAGATACACAAATAGCCAAGAAGCCCATAGAAAGAGGCCGCCCAACCTCATTCATCAGGGAAATACAGATTCAAGCCGCTGAGAGGAGCCACGTCGCACCCACGCCGGGCGGCTGGAGTGGGAGTGCGGGGAGGGTGCGGAGAGGTGGGACCCTTGCCCACAGCTGCTGGGCCCTCCGGCCACTTTGAAGGAGCGTTGGGCAGCTCCTCACACAGACAGGGCATCGCCACATGTCCCAGGGACCCCACTCCTGTGGGTGCACCCGAGAGAAGCGAACACACCCGTCCCCACGGAAACCTGCCCCCGCGGGCTCACCGCGCGAGATGCTCACGACAAAAGGTGGGAACACCCCACGTGTCCGCTAACAGGCTAATGGATAAGTACAGTCTTGTAATAAATGCACACAATGGGATCTCACTGGGCCATAAAAAGGAACAAAGTCCCGGTTTGGGGTGCGGAGCGAAGGACGCCAGCCCCAGGGGGCACGCCGCACGACCCTGTTCTCACTGGAGTCCAGAGCAAGGAAATGTATAAAGAGCAGGGTCTGGTGGGCGTGAGGGTGGGGACAGGGCCGGTGGGGCGGGGAGGGTGAAAGGCACAGGTCTCTCTCAGGGTGATGGAAGTGGAATGGTGGCACCGCCGTGTAATTATGCTAAAAACCACTGAATCTTCACTCTAAATGGACAAATTACACGGTGTGAGAATTACAGATCAGTGAAGCTGCTTCAACAGACTCTCCAGGCACGTCTGTGAGCGTGGCCGCTGGGGCGCAGGATGAATCGGACGGCCTGCGGGAAACCCCAGAGCAGGGGCGACTGGGGCAGATGCTGACGGGAGAGTGGAACGTGCAGGCTTCTCCGTGTGCCTAGCTGCAGGCGGGTCCTGGTCGGGCCCGCCTTTGACCCCGAGCTCCCCCTGGCCTGAACCTCCCGGGGGCTCAGCAAACTCCCCAGACTCAGCGGACGCTGGTGTGCACTCGCGGACCCCCTCTCGCTGGAGAGGAGAGACCTGGGGGCCTTGCACTGCCCCCCCCCCACCGGGCTCACGTCCCTCTTGGCCTGTGGGGACAGACCCTCTTGCCCGCCCAGCTCCCGAGCCTGCTCCAGGGAGGGGCCAGCAGGACTGCGTCTCCGACCCCCATGGACAGCACAGGGCTTCTCCCCAAGTGTGTCCTGCATGTCCAGATGCTGACTTATCTCGGTCTTTAGGAACCCGAGCCTCTGGGGCTCCCACAGACCTGTCTCCGCCATGCGCCGCCGTCCGGTGGCTCGCCTCCCCACAAATGAGCCGTTGGGGCCCAGGACCTCGGCTGCCGTGGTCATCGCCTGTTTTGTGCCCGGAAATAGTGGACAGGTGCCGCTGCTTATCCCACATGCTCACATGCAGACACGGCCCGGGTGCAGGTGTCCGGACACAACGTGGCAGATCTGTCCCCAGACAAAGGCAGTGGTGCCTCCACCCAGAGGAGGGGTTTTCAGACCCTCTGCTGGGGTGTGCGGACAACCCGGTCTAGGGTCTTCAGTGGCCTGTCTTCCCACAAGGCCCGATCCCCCCAGGGTCAGGGGTGGTGTGGCCAGTCCAGAGGCTTCCCAGCAGTCACCCGGCCCATCCAGCTACAGCTCCCAGCGGTGCGACTGTTCTAGAAAGTCCGCTGGTCTCGCTGCTGCCCTCGATTCCCAGACAAGCAGGGGCTGCAGCCTGACTGGAGGGGCCCGGTCTGCGGCATGGCCTGGGGTCCCGAGCGTGTCCAGTCTGTGCCTTTGTCCCTCTGTCTCAGAGCTGGCTCTGGGCCCCCAAAGGGTTAGGAGCTGCTGTGCGCAGAGCACTGTGGGGCTCCTGCCCCACCCGTGCCCTCGGGGGTACCTGGGCCTGTCCACCTGTTCCCACCTGCCAGCATCACCCCTCCAAATCCCGGTTCCCTGGGGAATGCTGATGACATGGGGCCATCACCCACTCGACTCTGTGCGGCAGGCCGCTGGCTGCGCCCCCTCCCCGTGGAGGCCACTGTGAGGGCTGGCAGACTCCGCACACCCTGGGGCATCTGGCGGGTCACAGATCCTAGCAGGAGGGCTCCTGAGGGGCGAGGCCTGGCGACAGGACCGTGCACAGCCAGGGAAAGCAGCAATTGGGGCAGCAGAAGCACAGCAAGGACGTCTGCCACTTCCCCTTCTGGAAGTTTCCTTGGGACCAGGGCCAGCGCCCACTGATTTCCTTAGGACTGGTGTCCTAGGAGACCTGGGGAGCAGAGCTCAGTGCATTGCAGCTTCGGGCCTGACCGCGGCCCGAGTCTGCTTGTTCC